AAACACTCATCACTTGAATCGTCAGATGACTCATTATTTAATTTATCGGACAAGTTACAATTTCCTATTCTTAGAGCCTGAACAATCAAATTCAAAACCTCTACTGGTAATTTGCTTCTTTTTGCAGGCAGTTCTCTAAGTGAATTGAAAACAGGATCAGATGTTATTAAGAGCATATTCAGCAAATCCATATTTGTAGACGTGACTTTTTCCTAGTGTGATGTTCTCGAAATCTCCTACAATCTTTGTTTCGTGCTTCTAGAGATTCTTCTGAGAGCTGGCCAATTGGAAGAATACACGACTTTACAACTTTCGTGCTATGCAATAAAAATTTATGCGCTGTAACAGGCACGTAATACCATGAATATAAATGTAAATATAAAGTTCATGTTTCAGAAAAAAGTTTTTCAAATTTGACACAGTAATGTCATGGCCAGAAGATAGCGTTCTTAACAAAACACTAAGTTTTTTAATTAATTCAACGTCTAATCCTGTAATCTCTCCGCTCTTTTCTGGGTTTAAAAAAAACCTGCGAGCTGTGTTGCCATCATTTGTATTGTCATAATGAGGCTTCGATTATCCACAATAAGTTCCATTTGTTTTCAAAAATTTTGCCTAATCTCTTGTGAGCGATCTCTGATACGACATTTAACCTCTTTGCCTCTAACTTGCCACTTTTTAATGTCTAAACGGTAGCTAATGTGTAGCAGGCAAAAGTACGTATCCAAGCATGCAAGGTAGAAAAACCGAAAATTGTAATTTTCTTTTTTATTAATTATACCTTTTAATTCACCATTAATCATTTTTAAAGTAGCACCTCAAATATAACATTTTGGCGTGGAACGCGTATTAGTTAAAGCATTGCATACTTTTCCGTCTGTCATTGTAAGTAACAGACATTACACAATGTTGCAAGAAGTTCAGATTTTTCTTTTAAAACTTTGTCAGTTTCTATTACAGTAAATTCCTGTGCTTCTATTACAGTTAATTCCTGCAATAAAGTGTTGACGATGGCCGAGGATTTTGCCAAATAATAGCATTAGAGTCATCACTCAATCTCAACGGAACAAACGCAAACACAAATAGGAAAATCATCATTAGGATCGGAGTTCTCAAATCTTTGTTGATAGATATTGTGGCCAGAATTTCCGTCACATCCCTATTTACTGATTAATGTAAGCGACAAATTAGAGGATGCATTTTTAGGAAATTGACTTAGCGTTCAGTTGTTTTGTTCAATATGGCTTGAAGTTTAATTTCAGCTCGTGTTTTTGAGATAGAAATAAATTCTTCTGGAGGGTAACACAATCTTTTGGATTAACATAAATTAAAGTAAGACGGAAACACTTCATGCCCTGCTTTCATTGACTATTTTCTTCTTTGTTTATAAGAGTGACTAGTACACTTGGAATCTACATAAGCAAGTGCCTCAACACTACTCAACTGTCTGATACCACAAATAACATCTGTAGATTTTCTTCGTTCAAAGGTTTCTGTACTTTTTCTAATAGAAGCAGCTACATTTCTTTGACCCGACAAACGATGTGCTATTTCAGCAGCTGTTGTTAATTCATTGGCACTACCCTTCAGATGTTGTAGAAGCACAGGACCAAAAAAATTCTTATTTTAAATTCTAAATTATTGCCCTCTAACTAACTTTTATTTTTATTTAAAAAATGATCCATATTTCTATTGGCTACATTCCACTTTTGCGCAAATTTAGCGGATATGCTTGCCATTTTTAACTGTATTTTTTTTCAAATCACTAGTAAATTTTCTGTAGTATAGTCTTTCAAAATAAATTCACACAAAAGAGAATTTCGTTCTTCCTTTGCATGTTTTTGCCATTCTTCAAATAACTCCAATTTTGTAATAGAATACACTCGGTCTGAAAAAAATTAAATAAAAATGAAACGGGCAGACACGGGAAGACAAATTTTTATATTTAGACGCCTTATTGTTGTGGTTATAATATATTAAAAAATCAGTCTGGATATATTTGGATAACATTAGTTATACGCTTTGAAAATTAAAAAACGAAAAAAGAAATTGCAGTTTTAACATAGTTTTTTTAAATCTACAGAATATCATCTATGACAATTATTTTAAATAAGTTTTCGATAAAATACAAAGTACATACCCTCTAATGTAAAATTAATCACAGCAGAGTTATTATTTGCAATAAATTAGTTTTACGTTATTGTTACACAGCAAAATTACAGCTATTTTTTTTACAAAAATAGGTTTATCTTTAAGTGACATTTAAGCGCTAATGATTTAACTCTTAAAAACGCATACACTAATTAATATTTTGAGTTTTTCTCTAGGAAGAATTCAGTAATATTATGGAAGTATCTACTAATTGATTCCTAATTGACCTACTAATTGATGAGGAGCTTGACCTACTAATTGATGAGGTAATTGACCTACTAATTGATGAGGTGCACAGTGTATCGGACACTGTGCACCCTACTAAATTCGCTATATTAAATAAATTAAAATAAGCAGTTGTTGTGGTTATGAAAAGTTATAAATACTTTTACATTTTTAATTTGTTTTTTTTTTTTGTTTGTTTTTTTAATTAATCTTGTTGTTATTTACAAATCAGTTATTTAAAAGTTTTTTTTAAAAGACTGTCAGGTTTATTGTTCTTGCTTTGGAAATGGCTCTGCATTTTACAATTTTATTCTAAGTTTTGTATTTTGGCTTCTTTTATTTAGCGTGGTTGTTGCTAAAAACCTAGCCAAAATGAAAGTTATTTCTGGAAATAACTAAATAGAATAATTGTGAGAATAATAAAGGAACAATTGTTGTCTAGAATAGACTAATTGAAATCAGTTTTATGAATAGCTATTAATAAATAAACAAAAAAAAAACATTAATTTTTATTTCTGTTAGAGTGGTTGTTATAACCAGAGCTGAGCAGGACCATTTCAAATTGGGGCTGAAGAGGTATCCCCCTCCTCCCCAAGCTGTTTTATATGCATTTTTTTTTCCGTTTAACATGGTATAAATATTATTTTTACAATGCATATTAAGTACGTATACAATAAAAGAAAATACATAAATAAATAATGAAAATTACATAATAATTAAAATGAAGTTAAAGCAGAGAGGAGCTCAAAGAAGATACGGAAAACATTACGTTATCACAATCTTTTCGTAGAAATTCCTTATAAAGAATTAAATACTATAATGTAAGGGTATAAAGTTACCGTTAAAATAGTCAAAACAATTAAGTAAAAAAAAAAAAAAAAAAAAATAGAAAACAAAAAATATAGACAAACAATGAAAAATTAACCGTTAAAATAGTAAAACAAATACTAAAAGTGCAACTTTATTTTATAATCCCATTTTAAAAGTTTCTTTTTTTGTTTGAAACTTGAACGAACTTAAAGACTTCACCATTAGTTTATATTCCTTTTGATAGTCATTCAATAATTTGGGTCCTCGATAAGATATACAATATTCTGAGAATCCGAGGCAATTTATAATTACTGTTACTATTTGATCTTAGATTATAATTTTCATTTATATTTTTTTCAAACTTGTTGTTAAAGTTTTCTTGTAAGAGGTTGTTGTAATACCTATACATAAAAATAAGATGCTGATAGGTATTTATTTCAAACACATACATCATTTTCATATTTTTCATAAGAGGTTTTGCATGTTCTTGTTTGTATTTAGAGTATATTATTCGACAAGCGTGTTTTTGTAACCTATAAATTTTTTGGAGTTTAGTTGGTTGCGTACTTGCCCATGATATGTTTGCATAATTTATGAAACAGTGAATTAGTCAAAAGTATATCAATTTAAGACTTAACATATGAGGTATAGAACTCGATACATAACGCCAATCGTTTTGGTAATTTTAAACTGTATATAATTTATCTGGGGAAGCCAGGATAAATTTTCATCGACAAGAATTCCTAAAAATTTTATGCTTACTTGTTTTTTAATTGTTTTATCATTTAAGAAGAGTTCGAGTAGCTTAAGTGGAATGTTTAGTTCTTGTGTTTTTTTATGAAATAGAATATAATTTGTTTTTTCAACATTAAGTGAAAGTTTACTTGCCCCAAACCAAATATTTACTTTAGTTAACTCCGTATTCATACCAATATATTTAAATGTTTTATGTCATTATTGGTGAGAAAGAGATTGGTATTGTCTGCAAATATTATTGAGTTTAGCTTTAATGACGCATTACAAAAGTCGTTAATATAAATTAAGAATAGGAGCGGACCAAGAATTGATTCCTGTGGTACACCGCATACAACGTTTAGTATTCCGGATTGTACAATATAAACATATTGCTTTCTATTAGTAAGATAGCTTTTAATCCAGGAACAGGTTAAATTATTTATACCATAATGCTTAATTTTTTCTAAGAGAATGCAATGGTCAATTCGGTCAAATATTTTAGATAAGTCTATACCCAGCAGGCACACAACGTTGTACTAACGTTGTATTTATGTTAAAATTGCGTTTTACGTTACTTTACGTTAATTCAACGTTGAGTCAACGTAATCTTTTTAACGTAATGTTCTTACGTTAAGCTAACGTTGACACCGTTAAAAAAACATTAAAGTGTTAACCTAACATTCTAACGTTGACCTAACATACGGACAACGTAAAAAAATAAAGAAATATTAACGTACGTAGTTCTGCTAACTATAAAAAAATCTGCCGTAAATAATTATTTATTTTTTCCTTAAACATGGCGTTAAAAGATAGAAAATAAGTTTAGTTAAAAGATAATTAGCTAAGTTTGAAGGTTTGCATTATCTTTTAAAGGACATTCGTGGAATTTTCAAAAAATATTTGAAAATAAACAGCGCACAATTATTTAAAACTTTGAATTGCTGATAAAAGATTTAATAAATGTTTGATTAAAAAGGTTTATTTAGGAAAATAAATATATTATTATAATTATTATAATAATATATTTATTTTACTCTGCTTATTGAATAAATTTTTAACAGTAAGTATTGTATTTCTGAATAAATATTTTATAGCAGTGTTTACGTACAGTTCTTTTCAGATTAACCATAAATACTAATCTCGATACCATTTAAATGTGTTCAAGTTTTAGTTTTTTGAATTTTGATAACACAAATATGATAATTAATGCTAAGATAATTACACAGAAAATTATTTTCATATTATTATTAGTTGTGGAGTGAAACATTTGTATTTGGGTAATTATTATTATAATTTTTCTTCTTTTAATCTCATTTTAGGCTTGTGGGTTATGCAGGGTTGTGCAACTATTTTATAATGCTTTAACAGAACCAAAATTTATAGCTAAGTTTAGATTTTTTAAATTAATAAGAAGTAATATGTCGAATATTTTACAAACGAATATCAAGTCGGTTAGAACCTAATGCTCATGCAAATAAAGCTGCCATGGCAACCCTTTGAATCTGATAGTTATTCACTCTGAGCAATATAGTATAACATTTTAAATCAAATTAACTGCGGAAATGAATTTCAATAAACTGGTTGCTTTGCTTATATTTTGACAAACAATGTAGGTATATTATTAATTTGAAACCAGAATGTTAATTTTTCAAGTGTCTTCACCAAGCATCTGCTATGCATTAAGTGTTTAAAAAAATCAAATTGTAAAGTAAGTAAAATAAAATGTATTTTAAAATTTTCATTCATAGAAAGCATAGAGTCTTCAACAAAAACTCAAGTAAAGATCATATTGCAAATATTGAAAAGGCCTCTCCATTGGTAAATAAATGTCAAACAATATGTATAGAGAATGCAAGCAATTGTTAAGCAGTTCTTTTTATATATTTATAGTATATACCTGTAATCTTCTTGTATATTCACATTTTTAGTATTAATTTGTATATTTATTTAGTTATGTTTTAGTTAACATAATCTATTTAACTTAATAATTTAATGTTAAACTAATGAACTGAAAAAAAAAGTACAATTGACATTATTTTGCAAACTAAAGTTTAACGTTTACATTTTGTTGTTAAAAAACCTGTTATACCTAATTTTTATTTTCAGGTTTTATTTTAAGCTATTTTTTATTTTAGTCTAAATAACCATAGCTAATAAACGCCAGCAAATGCTCTTACTGTTTTTCCAAAAATTGTTTTTAGCTTATTTTCTAGCACAATTATGACTATTAATTATTACTATTTAATAAGACTTTAACTTTAAGATTTTAATTATAATACAAACATTCAACTGTATGATTTTAATTATGACAATTATATACAAACATTCAACTATATGAGATTAATGAGCTAGCAAGTAAAAAAACTTACATACAACAAATGTAGTTTGATGAGAGGATAAGAATATTAACTCTTTAAAGTTTAGGAAATATAAGAATATTACCTTTTCTAAATAAGTTTTATCCTGTTTTTTTATTGATAAAAATTAATTTTTCTTCTTCTTCTTATTTTTCATTGTATTTAGTTTTTATTATTATCTTGTTATTGTTAAAACTACTAAAATTTATGTTTATTTCAGAATAATAAAAATGAATAAACAAGAGAAAAATCAATACTTGAGGGAATGGCGCCAAAGTAATTGAGTCTTAAACAATATACTTGTAAATAAAGAAATTGACTCACATCACATGTCGACTCTATTAATAATATTAATAGAGTCAAGAGTTGAATTGATTTCAAAAACATTGAAATTAAGAACTATAGTGACTTTTATTTTGTCTCTGATCATAAATATACTTCTGGAACTGAGAGTTCTATTCTAGACTCTGAGGTTCCTGTGAGTGATGATAATGAAGATCTTCATGACGTACTTGTTACATAACGTACGAGTACTTGTTACAGAGATTGCCAAATGGATTTTAAAACACAGAATAGCTAGAAATGCAAGTGACGAATTGTTAACCATTTACACCAGTATAGTTATAATGTTGATTTACCAAAATGTACAAGGAAAATTTTAAATACTCCTAGGAATATTCCAAGCAAGTTAAAATGTGGGGGTAAATATGTTTACCTTGGTATTTCAAATGACAAATCAAGAACTTTAGCAATCAACCAGCATTACAGATTTGAGTCAAATATGATTTCTTTAGTTGTCAATGTAGATAGCATTCCCTTATTAAAGTCATCAAACACACAGGTTCGGCCTATATTATGTATGTTTGACAAAGTGACACCATTTACTGTAGCATTATTTGTTAGTGATATCATGCCAAATAATTGTGACGATTTTTAATATGATTTTTTGCATGAGTATGAGTTATTATTTGCAAATGGTTTTAGTATTATATATATAACTTCAATTAATTCTTGAGAAAAGGTGTTGCTAATGTGCCAATAAAAAGTCAGAAAGTGTAAGCATAACCATTTTTAAAAAAATAGAGTCCCTTAAAGAATTTTATGAGCTTGAAACCAGATTAAAAGACAACGGGGAGAACAGTAAGTTGGTAATTTATGTTTATAATTTCTATTTTTAAAGTTTGTCTGTTAATAGAATGCTATTTAAGTTCATCGTTTTCTTGATGAGCCTATTTAAATCATTCTTACATTTTACCACAATATGGTGTAAAAAGTAAATTCCTACTTATAAATCGAGAATTAACTTAGTGACCTGATAACCATTTACATTCTGTAGAGTTTTTTACAGTCTTGTATTTTTGTTAAACTATTTTATCTTATATTTGGTTGAGCAATTATTATTTCGTTGCTTTGATAGAATAACTGTGAAAAACAACCAAATAAATCTAATCCTGTGTTATTCCAACATGAAATTTTCTCTAAACTTTTATTTATGTTTTAGCTTTGTCACCTCATAAAAGCAGGTGGAAAAATGTTAAAGAAAATACAAAAAGTGTCATGGTCAGGTATGTATTTTTGTTTAACTCTGAATAATCAAACTGTTTAAATTGTGAGTAAATTTTATAGAAAAATCTAGCCCAAGGAAAGTAATTTAGAAAAACAAACAATTTTAATATTAATGTTTGGGGAGAACCTTAACGCTTATTGAATTGGACAAAATCAACTTTACATTTATAGATATCCAAACTCCTGTGGTAAGAAATGTTAAACACAACAATTTAACAGACAAAATCATTATTCCTATCATGGTCTAAATATGATGGGCCAAACATAATATTAGAAATGTTGCATTAATGGGAACTAATAGCACATTTTGAATGGTGGAAAAATGTTTTTTTGTTTTGGTGCGAGAAGTTGAGTTTAATTAATTTTTGAGCTTTTTTGTAAATTTAACCATTAACTCTCACATAGTGTGAGAGTAAATGGTTATCAAATAATTTTCAATGTATAAATTAAGCAACTATCAACTTTTAAAAAGCATTTTACAAAAACTGCCCCATTTATTTAGGTTCTCCCCTACAGGTTTCACTTTTAATTCAATGTCGAAACTTTGAATTTATAAGTTTATAAAAAAATAAAGAACCTTTCCAAATTATACTTTTTGAATTAATCCAATGTGTATTTACAATTATTTAAATAAGTTTGCTGCATCACTAAATGTAATATAACAAAGTAGTTATTTTCCATTTATTATTTGTTATTACGTTTTTATAGAATTATGGAGCATCATGTTAAGCCCAAGTTCAATATGAAAAGCAAAATTCGTCGTGATATAAAGAAGGTATCATTCGAAAATAAAAAGTTGTGTAAAGCAATAATTTTGGTGCGTTAATAATAGCTCAATATTGTTCTATCTATCCTTTCTTCCTTACATATGTTTTTTATTCTTAGATATATATAAGTCTTAAACCTTGAATGTTAGCATTGAAAATCAAACAAATAGTCAATTATAAACAAAATAAATTTTTAACTGTTATCCCGTTTACAATATCCCGTTTTGTATTTTAGAAGTCATCCAGCTAACGCACGAGAGTTCGACGGAAGCAAACAAAAGATCAAATAGGAAGCATTTTAAAGTTCTCTCCATTAAACAATTATTTATTTTTGAGTTTTTTTGTAAATTTATAATACAAAAGAATATATAATACATCTTTAAAAAAATCTTTAAAAACATTTATTGTATTTTTAGTTTGAATATCCCCAAAACTATTTTTCTAACCCTTTTTAAGGGGTTAAAAACCTTTATATTAACTTTGAATATTGATTGTAATTGTGTTTAACATTTAATGTTAATATATACGGTTATATTCATACAATAAACATGACACGAAGCCGCGTATAAAGGGCTTTGGCTCAGGGTTATATGGATTAGTGATGTAAATTTTCCAGTAAAATTTGATTCAAAATTTACCGGTAAAATTTACCGGTAAATTTTTATTAGAGAACGGTAAATTTTCCTTTAAAAAATCAAAAAAAAAAAAAAAAAAGAAAAAAAAATAAGTGAAAAAAATTTTTTAAAATTTACCAGGCGGTAAATTTTCAAAATTTTCCGGTAAATTTACCGGAAAATTTTCCGGTAAATTTTACCTTCGCAACACTAATATGGATATAACAATAGCTACATTAACATTAAATATTACACAATTACCATCATTATTTTACGTTAAAATAAACTTTAGAATTTTACGTTAATATAACGTTAATATCTAACGTAAATCTTTTTTTTTTTTTGGGGGGGGGGGGGGGGGGGGATATTATACCAAAATTGGTTAGCGTAACTTTTTTGGAAATTACGAATAAAAAGATATCGACTGATAGTATTGGAGTTGTTCTATGGGGAGTTAGTTTCTTATATAGATAGTAGCATTTCCTCGGTAAATAATTTCACTTTTTTTTTCAGACTAATAGGGTTTTTGTTTAATAAATAAATTTAATACAAAATCTACAATGCAAAATCTAAGCGTTTCTTCTTACTAGCTGCAAATAATGCCAAGCCAGTTAAACGCTCATCATTGGTTGGGTTACGCAAAGGACTTTTTAAAACATTCATGGTGCTAAAGCTCCGTTCAGCTGTACACGTTGTGATTGGAATAGTAGAGAAAATCCAAAAAAGTGTCTTGATGGTTGCCAATCTATAAAATAAAATTAACAGAGTAATTTAATAAGCCACAGAGATTTAAACTGATATAGTATTTCTTTTTTAGAAATTATACCAATCAGAAATTACATCTAAAGCTGCTAATAAAGTTGAAGGATAGCTTTGCATATGCGAGCAAAATTCTTTCTACTCCAAATATTTATTTTGAATAGTTTCCTCGTCTCGATACCCAATTACAGAAGAAAACATTCTTACAGTTTCAACCACATCAGTCCAACTATTTTGAGAAATCACTAATGGTAACAGAGCAGACATTTTCATAACTAGTTGCGGGTGATTTGAAAACCGTGCATCCATAGATTTTAATCACTGAATCTAGGTACGGAAACCAAATTGCTCTTTTATAATATTGGCATGCATTTTCAGCAGGGATGTTGTTTCTATGTAATTGTCTACACCTTGATAAGTCAAACTAATGTTTGAAAAAAAATTACAAATTTATTCTAAAGTACTATTTTAATTGAATAAGATTTTATTTTTATTTTCATCCTTGAGCGCACTCCTTTAATCATATAAATTATATCAGATAATTTAAATGACTTATATTTTTTTGAAAACTGTTTTAGCAGTCGATGTCCTTGCGGAAACCAAAAATGTTATACTGCGTCATATTACCATAAAAAAATACTTGATTGAAAAGGCAAATACAAAGAAAACTGGAGAAAAAACGCGCTCTAACGAACAGTGACTTAGTCAAGGTTTACACATGCCTGAATTACCCATAGCTTAGAAAGTATGCCCCTTTCCCGCTTTCCCCTCCCCACCAAAGTTTTGTGATGGCCGCTGATCTATTTCTGCTAAATAAAAAAAGAAATAAAAAAATCAATGGTTATTTAGCAGCCCCTATTAGTACTCATGCGGCAGGGAGCCCGTCTCTACACTTCTTATACACTATACATGCATGTTTAATTATAATAGAACTACCCTTTATGATATACGTGGAAAAAAATCCTTTCCCGATGCCCCACCACAAACACTGCCCACATACATCAGAGTATTACCTAAAGTATTACCCAGAAGTGCCCTCAAACAGGCAATGAATTTGAATACTCTACCTATCCCAAAATGTATGTTAAGTCAACATAAAATGACTGTTCTTTGAGAAAGTAAATAATATAACTTACATTTTACTTACTTACAAAGTAAAGTATAAATTGCTTTATACGACTTACCATTAAAAAAAAGTTACATTTACAAGTAAAAGTAAAAATGCAAATAACGTTTTCTTCTAAAAGTAAACTACTTTTTCAAGTAACAGTTACTCATTTAAAAAGCTTAACTAAAGTAATTAACTTTTGCACGTTATATAATTTATGTGAAAAAAACGAATTACTTTAAAGTGTATGTAAATTATCTATTTTTATATGAGTAATGTAAAGTAATTTACGCCTAAAAGTAATTCGCGTTTTTACTTTAAAATAAATAAAAGTGACATCCTTATTTATAATTATAATCCTTTTTCCTCTTCAACACCAAAATAGCGCCTGCTATTTTTGAATGTTTTGTTGAACGATGTTTTTTTTTTTTTAAATTACCTATTAAATATAATTTACTAATCTAATTAAAATAGATTATTTCTCTTTCTAAAGAGCAGCTAAAAAAATATCTTTAAATATATTACTATTTTATGGCTGTTTATTTTAGGGTATTTTTTTCCTCTTAATTGATCATATTTGATAGTAAATTTATATCGATGAACAAAAAAATAATTAGTTTTTAATCCTTAAATGTTCAATCATATTTGATTGTAAATTTATATAGATAAACAAAAAATATAATTATTTTTTAATTCTTAAACGTTCGATACAAAAACGTTTTGTTACTTTATTCAACATTAAAACTCTGCAAACGCGCTCAAAATTTTTTGCCCTCGTTTCGGTTAACATTTTTCGAGAAAACGTTTATTTTTAAGGAGTGAACTCGAGGCAAATATAAAAAGCTGCGTTTCAAACCAGGCCTTAATTCGTTCGGGATTTCTCTTGTCGCCTTAGCTCTGTTAAAGGACGAACTTATAAATGGTAAGATTTAGCCTAGTTATTATTAAAATAATCTACAAAAAATAAGTTATATTATTTTTTTTCTTTTGATGTTTTATTTTTACAAACCTAGTTTGTTTTTTTAATTAAAAAAAACATTTTTTGTAAATTAAAATAATAGTTAATATAATATAAAAGTTAAAAATAGTATGTGGAAATTAGAGAAATATTAAAAAAGACTTTATACTTTGCAGCGTATATGTAAATAAAAAAGTCGAATGTAAGTAGACCACTTTTTAAAAATACTTATCAGAAACTGATGAATAATATAAAGTAAAAATTGTAATATTTTGAATTTTTAGAAAAAAACAATAATCAAATAAAATTAATTCCAAAAAAAGCTAAATCTTAAAAAGAATAGTAAAAAGTTGCATTTGTTTATAGCAAAATTATAAAACATTATAGGAATAAGAACCTTGAATGTTTTTATGTAAATAATTTTGTAGTTGTTTAGAAGCTTTGATGATAAGCACCTTTTTTTTTTTTTGATTAAGTTTCTTTAATTTTTTTTTTTGGTACCTTGAAGCTATAGGCTTTATCAAAGATTAATTTTAAAACTTCATTCATTCAAATAAAAAAAGTGTGCCTACTGATAAAGTATATAGCACCTTTATAAAGCAAAATGATTTCATCTAAAACATTTCTATAATGTGAAATTTACTGATGCAAGTAAACATCTATTATGTAATACTTCTTGCTCTCATACAGTAGTATCAAGCAATATAGTGCAGATTTTTCATTACAAAGCCTCAATTGTTCATTATGTTCAATATGTTCAATTTTAAATAAAAAGTTTATCGGTATTAAAATATAATTTTGCTTATAGTTGTGAACTTGATTTTCAAGTAAAACTTGTTTATAGGCTAAAGATCTAACTGAAGAGCAAATTGCAGAATTCAAAGAGGCTTTCTCTCTCTTTGATAAAGATGGTGATGGCACAATCACAACCAAAGAATTAGGAACAGTTATGAGAAGTTTAGGACAAAACCCTACTGAAGCTGAATTACAAGATATGATCAATGAAGTAGATGCAGATGGAAATGGTACCATTGACTTTCCTGAATTTTTAACTATGATGGCTCGTAAAATGAAAGATACTGACTCTGAGGAAGAAATTAAAGAAGCTTTCCGTGTATTCGATAAAGATGGTAACGGTTATATAAGTGCTTCAGAATTAAGACATGTAATGACAAATCTTGGTGAAAAGTTAACAGATGAAGAAGTAAATGAAATGATTAGAGAAGCTGATGTTGATGGAGATGGTCAAGTAAATTATGGAGGTAACTTATTTAAATTTAAATTCTGCTTTGTTATTTCAGTTCTACTTTTTGTAATCTTAAAAAATAGACTAAACATTTAAAATAAAAATGTCTTAAACTTGAAAAATAAAAAAGTCTCTAATCATGGTTTTCGAAAACGTGACAAATTTATTTTATTCAAAAATTTCAAACACATTAAAAACCTTACATACATTATTTGGTTGTAATTATATTCATCCCTATAATATTTGGTTGTACTTTTAAATTCATACCCTTTTAAAACCGTTAAAACCCTCACATATAGTATTTGGTTGCAATTATATTCGTATAATATTTGGTTGCACTTTTAAATTCATTGTATATGATTTTATTAGTTAAATAATATGATATGTTAGTCCTTTATTGCTCAATAAATTTTTTCTTTTTAGAGTTTGTAAAAATGATGCTGTCTAAGTAAAATGCTCTTTGTTAGTCTGGTATAGTTTCGTCTCATATTTAACTTACAGATTCATGTACAAATTCATGTAGATATCCTATGATGGTTGTTTATCAATTTGCTTATCAGTTTTTTGTCTTGATATAAAAAAATAAAATATTGTAGATTATTTTTCAGAAAGAAAATAACAATTATAATGTTCTTCGTAAACCAAATTATGATGCTTGTTTTTTTTTTTTATTAATTTGGTTGATAGCATTTATTTTTTACTGTGTATTATCATTTATATTATTATTTTTTTTGTTATTAGTATTATATTTATTTATGCATAAATAATAGAGTATATGTTCATGTTTATTTTTAATTCATAAAGCTTGCATAAACGTTTGTTTTTGACAGTGATAAAAACTGTAGTTTTATCAATTGATCAGCATTCTCTGCATGATTGATTTTATTAAATTTTTTTTTACTGATTGAAAAACTATAAAGTAAAAAAAAGTTATTTCGATGCATTAATATTAATAAATGATTCCGGTCTTCTTGCTTATTTGATTTTCTATCTACTTTGAATAGGAGTAGCTTATTAAATATTTAGCAGGCGCTAAAGTTAACAAGAATAAGCGGGGTTTTTTATGTGTTAAGAATTTAATTTATCAACATAACACCGAATGTAGTATTATCAACAGCTGTGTCGTGCGACGATCTGCGATATTTATAGATGTGTATTTTTTTTTTAAATAAAAAGGGTAAAGAAATTCTTTAGTATATCTTTACAATAGTGTTCTTGTTATTTTCATCTCTAAAGAACTGTTTTCGGCTTTCCGAAAATTCAGCGCTCTTCGATCTTTTTTTTTTTTTTTTTTTCTGTTAAAATAAAAATCTGTTAACTCTATTCGAATAATGGAGATGTTTTTTATTTAGCTAAACGACTTAAATATTTTTACTATAAACATCGGCATATCGACTCATATTAAAGGAAAACTCGTAGACCATTTTTTTCGGCTTATTTTGCAGCGTAAAAATTGACTTAATGGTCGTTGTGTTCATGAATATTTTACTTTTATGTTTAAAATTTAAAGATTTTTGCTCAAGAATAGACGAAATTTAAAGTATGGGTGATTTACCATCATTGTAGGTAGTGATGATGTAATTTTCGGTAAAATTTGATTTAAAATTTACCGGTAAATTTTAAATTGGAGAGAGTAAATTTCCCTTTATATACATTGTTTTATAAAGGAAAAGAAAAATATGTAAAAAAAAATTTACCCCAGGTGGTAAATTTTCAAAATTTTCCGGTAAATTTTACTTTCGCAACACTAGTAGTAATCTGGTCCGAGATTAAGAATTCAAACACTTGCTAAGTTCTAAATTGAGAACAAAGGTCACGCTAAATACATACGCCTTCGATGATCTTACCAAGTTCTTAGGATTTAATAAAAATATGGTTGTAAGGTATTTAATAGTAAAACCCTAAATTTTTTTAACTGCTATTTGTAAACTTATTTTATATTCATATTAATTCAGAATATATATTTAAATATGGTCACAAGCGCTTCGAAAAATATTGAGTTTATTTCATACGATAAATGAACGGGCGGATATACTTTAGACGGCTGTGTCGAAAAATATATGTCACCGTATAAACTTTGGTAAATATACAGTAAAATCCCGTTAAGTCTGTTCACCAGTTATTTTAAACTTTGTTGTCCCTTTAAATTGTCTAATTGATTACTTTTAAAATTCTCCGGCTTTGATAATTCAAACTTTGTTATATGTCATCATTTTTTTGTTCCCTTTCAGCAAATTACTTCGGATAACTCAAACTTTTCGTATGGAAAATAAAGTAATCAAAATAACTTGATCAAACTTTTTCTTAAAAAGTCATTTTATTTAAAACATAAACAATAGCATAATTTTTTTATTGAACGTTGTTAATAGAAATGAATAGGATATATCGTTATCAGACGTAATTCAATGCTTTATTAAAACTGTTAAAAAATAAATCATCGGTTAAATAATAATATTGTTAAAAAAATATATAGCAAAAAAATTTGCTAAAAACTATAATCTTTTTTGAACTAAAAAGTAAAAAATAAACTTTTTGATTAAAATTTAATAGTTCAGTAAACTAAAGATTGACAGGTATGTTTCTAAATAAATCTTGTGCAGACCTGTCAATCTTTAGTTTACTGAACTATCAAAAAGTTTATTTTTTACTTTTTAGTTCAAAAAAGATTATAGTTTTTAGCAAATTTTTTATTTTCTACTTTTTAGTCTTAACAAATTTTTCATATGAAATACAAAACTAAAAAAAATTATTAAAAAAATTAAAAAACTAAAATACAAACCTACAAGCAATCTTGCCGATCTAAAAAAAAAATTTATTAGTAAAAAAAATTTTTTTTAAATAAATAAACCCGCAAGCAATTTAGTGACTAACTTTTACTAAAAAAAAAGTTGCGAGTGGTTGAAGGACGACAAAGTTGTTTAAGGAAGAGTTCATATCAAGTGAAAGAAAAGATTATAAAAAAGCAATTCATTTACAGTTTTAATAATTTTCTTATAATAAAAATAGTTAGCTTTTCGACAAAAATTTATTACTAAATTAAAACAGAGTTAGTGTTACTAAATGTTACATCACGTTGTACACTCTTTTAAGTGTACAGCGTAAATGCAAAGCTTAACTTCTTTCGTTCAAACCTTTTTCACGTTTTTATTAGTATTTATACTTTAGTATCGATTAAAAAAAAAAATCGCTGCAACTTAAACTAATATCTCATTCCATCCAAATTTGACTTGATGGGAATTCGCTTAAGTTGAAATATTTTACTTGGTTCCATGAAGATTCTTTCTATTGGGATTTAAAAAATGCGGATTAGGGTCAACTTTTTTCAAAAATATGAAAAAAGGTTTATGCGGCATAAAACTTTTTTTCTTCAAAAAGTTGTTGTTGCTTAAGATCACAAAGAGACCTATTGATTTCAATAGATTATAAACGCAGTTTTTGAGAAGATGGTAATGAGGTTTATAATTACATCATTTCAATGCTTTAACAGTTTACCATTTAAATAATAACTAATATTTAATTTAAAAGTTTTTACCATATCAACTATTCAAAACTGTTAAATAAATAATATAGCTTCACAGCAAAAGTAAGAAAATAGGTTGCGTTGATATAACAACTGGCAACACAGTATCCGCCAAGAATCAACAGGTTACATTTCCTTTTTTTGAGTTTCTGAGTAATTTGAATTTTAGAACGTAAATACCAAAAGTTGCAAAATTGTTGCAAACTGTTTGTATGCTTCAGTTTATTAGTCAATAAAGTTTTATTCCTCATAGAGTTGATAAAAACTTGCTTAAAAGGCTGGTTGTGGACACGTACCCTAAAAGATTAAAAGTTTTTCAACTTTAATATATTGTTGAAAAATAGGTTTATATATATATATATATATATATATATATATATATATATATATATATATATATATATAATATATATATATATATATATATATATATATGCAAGCAAAGAAAAAAAGTAAATTTACGAGCACTCATTATAAATGCATAAAAGATTAGCATTGAATGCGAGTTTGTAGCTATTGGATCAAGACTGAAATATTTAGTAACAGTAAATAGCAGAAAGTGAAACAGAAGTGCATTGCTCATTTTCTCCTATTCATTATTTGCAAATTTATTTGCGGTTGTTTTTTATATTAATTTAGTTTTTTTATGTATGACTTTCCAAAACTAATAACGGGTTTTTTGTCTTTTAGTTTGTCGCCTTTTTGGTAATCAAATTCAAAAGCAAAGTTTGTGTTTGAATTTGATTTCCAAAAAGTCTCAAACTTTTTGGAAATCAAATTCAAACAAATTTTTGAAAAACAATTAAAATAATTGTTTGAATTTAAATGTTTTTGTGTTTTTTTTGATTTTCTAAAACATGCCCTATGATTGACAGACAATTTTGTGATAAATATTATTTCTTTAGATACTATTGTTGGTGACAAAATTGAATTTGGTCTGTCCAATGGACATCCGAACAGGCCATTTTGGATGTACTATGGACGTCCGTGTGTCCATTGGGAAGAAGCATTTATAATTACTATCATCATTAGTTTTTTTTTAGTATCTTAGAGGGTATATCTTCTCTAGCATATAGCTTTATTTCATCTCCAAGTTTTGATCGATCTAATCTATATGGTTTGAAATAGCATTCAATGAGAAATTATATTGAGAAGGAGTGGTCGATTTTAGTTTCAGATATCATTAGTATATAAATTTTGCCTTGAGTTATTTCCTTTAAAAGTTCAAATTTATTTCTGATTGAATTAATGTTTATGTGACCGATTATTATTTTAGTTGGACGTTGACTTTTAACATAATGAAGGTCTAACTGATTCGGAGTTGATGTGGTATTATTAGGAGCAATGATATTTAGTTGCTGAAATGGATTGATGCCAATTAGCATCCAATCCATTGCAGATTCATAAAATCCTTTTCTTTCTTTTTTGCTTTTTTCGTCATGTTTAGCCATGTTGATATAGGCTTCGTTTTTATTTTGAATAGCTCCTCAAGAATTGTATCATATTTCTCACTAACGAAATCTACCACTTTTTTTAGTTCCTTGATTTCTTTTTTTAATTTTTCATTTTCTTCTTGGAGATTTAATAACTTTGTATCTAATATGTCTTTTATTTGCAAGGCGGTAAATTTTGTCATTTTTAATTAAGTTTTCAGAAAAAAACCAAAACGGTTATATGTTCGATCGCGTTCAATTTATTAACACAAAATATAGCGGAGGCTGTATACTTGTAAAACGTCTCGTCTCACAAAGTGAGTAAGCCCAATGGTTGAACTGCATAATTTTACGGGGAGACTTAGACAAAGGAGTGAGCCCAATTGTTGAACTGCATAATTTTACGGGGAGACTTAAAGGATTGGAATAAAAAGTTGAAATGTCAACAAAATATGTTAAGGGACAACCGGGACAGCATGCCCCGATTGCACCCTTAGGGACGGCCCTGAGTACGCATGGGGTTTCTCTGAATTGTTATAGGAATCTCTTTAACTTATCTACAACCTTTTTAATACCATAGTCAATAATGACCCGTATTACGGGTCCCATCAGTTTTTTTAAACAGAATTTAATTGTTTTTTAAATAAATTTAATAATTGAATATAATTAAAGAAATAACAGGCGTAGGAAATGTAAAAATTGATAATTTCCCAAAAAGATTGCAAAGAGATGGTAATATAGGAGATGCTTTTGTAAATAAAGAAATTGCAGAAACATTTAATGACTTTTTTATAAATATAGGGAAAAAACTAGCCAGTGCAATTCCTGAGGGGAGTAAATCGTTTGAATCCTTTTTGAAAAAATCAGATTCCATAATGGATGAATCGGAGCTTCTGGTTGATGAACTTCGGCTAGCAATTAGTATGTTGAAAACAAATAAGAGTGCGGGTCTAGATGAAATTAACCCCGATGTTGTAAAAACGGTCTCTGATATTATTGAGAAACCTCTTTTTATAATTTTTAATCTTTCCCTAAGAAACGGCATTTTTCCTGACCAACTAAAACTAGCAAAAATAATTCCAATATACAAAAGCGGCGATGATTCGATAAAATCTAACTATAGACCAATTTCCATACTTTCCTGTTTTTCTAAAATACTAGAGCGTATTATGCACAACAGACTGTACAATTATCTTGAAACTAATAACATTCTTTATCATAAACAGTTTGGTTTTCGCAAAAACCATTCCACGGAGCATGCAGTAATTGATCTTGCGAACCAAATTTTAAATGGTTTTGAAAACAATAGTTACACTCTCGGAATATTTCTGGATCTATCCAAAGCCTTTGATACTGTCAACCACAAGATTCTTATCAACAAACTATGTAATTACGGAGTAGCTCACTCTAACTTAAAGTGGCTGCAAAGTTATTTAGAAAATCGTAAACAAGTAGTACCATTTGATTTAACATGCTCCCCATTTGAGTCAATAAGTTGTGGAGTTCCACAAGGATCAATACTTGGACCTTTACTGTTTTTAATTTATATTAATGATATTTATTTGTCATCAAAAATACTTATTTATATTATTTTTGCTGTCGATACTAATGTTTTCTATTCTGGTTCAAATTTAAAAAATATTTTTTGTAATGTAAACACTGAACTAACATATCTCAATGAGTGGTTTATAGCAAATAAACTTTCGTTGAATATTGAAAAAACAAAATATATTTTGTTTGCTAAACCATCTAAATCCGAGAATCTTCCACTTACACTACCAGAACTAACTATTAACAATATTAAAATAAAAAGAGTGTTTTCAATGAAAATACTTGGAATAATTTTTGACAAACATTTAAATTGGAAAAGCCAAATAAAGCTAGTCGAGAACAAAGTCTCAAAGACTTTAGGGATAATGTATAAGACTAAACCTCTTTTGAACAAAATTTGTTTAAAAAATTTATATTTTTTGTTTATACATAGTCATATTAACTATTGTAATATTGTCTGGGCAAACAATCACTCATCTTTCCTAAAAACTATTTACACAAAACAAAAGCAAGCAAGTCGATTAGTTTCGGGCATCGATAGATACGAAAGTGCCGAGCCGTTGCTCAAGGAAATAAATGCCCTAAATGTATACAAATTAAACATCTACCATAACTTGTTATTTATGTTTAAACTTCAAAACGAATTAATTCCAAAATATTTTTATAAAAACTTCTCTCTTATTAATCATAAATATAAAACAAGACACTCAATAAATAATTACTACATCCCACTAACATTACTCAAAAAGTCTGACTTCTCAATTACATGTCGGGGACCACGCTTGTGGAACTCGGTTCTTGACGAAAATATGAAAAAAATTAAACCTATTGATATATTTAAAAGAGCTATAAAAAAACATATACTAAATTTAAACAATACGTACATTCTTTCATTTTTTTAATTAAAAAAAAATATATATATATATGTATGTATTTTGCGTGTGTATGTATATATATATATATATATATATATATATATATATATATATATATATATATATATATATATATATATGTGTGTGTGTGTGTGTATGTGTATGTGTGTATGTGTATATATATATGTATATATACATGTATGTATGTATGTATGTATGTATATATGTATGTGTATATGTGTATATGTGTATATGTATATGTATGTGTGTATGTATATATGTATGTGTGTGTATGTGTGTGTATATGTGTGTATGTATATGTATATATGTATATATATATTTATATATATATATATATACATGTATGTATATGTGTTTGTATGTATATATGTATATGTGTGTATGTGTATGTGTGTATGTATATATGTATATGTGTATATGTATATGTGTGTATATGTGTATATGTATGTGTGTATGTGTATATATATACATATATCCTTATTATATATATTCTTCTTGTTTCTTTTTGTTTGTCTGTTTTAATTTTGTTTTAAAAAAAAATATATGAGTAGATGAACTTAAATCTATAAAATGTTCGGAATCTTTTATATCTTTTGTATATTTAAATATATATTATGAAGTTTATTGGATATGTATACGCATATGTACGGATTTGTAAATTATTTTTTCAAACTTTTTTATTTTTTATTATTTTCAAACTTTTTAGTTTTGTCAAACTTAAAAATTATTTTTTCAACTTTTTGATTTTTTCAAACTTTTTAATTTGTTTTTTTTTAAACTTTTTTTAATTTCACTCTTTTATATATTATTGGGAATTGTAAAAAATTTTTTTATTTTTTTTATTTTCACGAAGGGGCTTTTTTTTTTTTTTTTTTTTATTTATTTCGTCAGTAAAAAAAAAAGAATACAATGTCGTGTAAAATAAATAAGATCAACATGACCGGGGTTAAAAGAAGACAATACTTGCCTTATCACTACACCCCGACGTGCTTTCATAAGCAAGCGTGTACAACCATTAAAAGTTAAATATACAATTACTTTGTGCCATTTAAAAAAATTATATACAATTATTTACAAGTATGTTAAGACTAGTTACTAATCTATAATCAAAAGAAAATAGTAAAAAGAAATTTAAAAAAATAAAAATAAAATCAAAACTATAGATAAGCTAATAGGATAGTTTATAGAGTTAATAAGATAATTGTTAAAAATAAAGAAAAAATAAAAATAAAAAATTTTTAAAAAGAATTTAATTCATTAACATCGTTAATAAGTTTTTGTTTCAATTTTTTTTTGAATAGGTAAAGAGAAGAACAATTTTTCAGCTCGTCACTTAATAAAGCGTTCCATAATTTAGGACCTCTTATAGCAATAGAAAATTTGGTAGCTAAATAATGCATTTTAGGTTGCTCATAATTGTACTTAGAAAATCTTGTAGGGTACATGTGATTAATTTTATTGAAAAGAGTACTAAATATTATAGGTGATATTTTATTATGAAGTTTGTACATAAAAATAAGAACTTGATAAAGGTTTAACTGAAAAACATTGAGTATGTGAAGATTATTAAATAGTTCTTTAGTATGTGTGAATCGACCTGCATTTGAAATAATTCTGACAGCATGTTTTTGTTTAATAAGCAGTTTTTTAACTTTACTTATATTAGAGCTGCACCAGGCAATGTTTGCATAGTTTATATAACAATGTATGAGGGAGAAATATAAAATTTTTAGGCAGTTTTGGTTTAAAAACTGCTTGGCTTTGAATAGTATACCAATATTTTTTGAAACTTTATTTTCTATTGTACTTATGTGTTCTCTTGATGATAAATTGATGATAAGACATTTTGCTTGATGATAAGACATTTTGTCTTCTACTTGCCCCAGTCAGCATTTGTATAAATTTATTTGAATCTAAGGTTAACATTGTAAAATGTGTGAAATGACGAAAAATAAAAATTAAAAAAAAAAAAAAAAAAAAATTATTGCACACAGATTTAAACTTTGAGGTGGGCTTCTTCAACATCTTCATTAATCTTTAAATATCTACTTAATCAGTTTTAAGATTTAAGGGTTCTCGTTGTGTTTTATGATAACTTGATCTAATTATCTAATCTGTAATTTATCAATAGGTAATCCTTATTATTAATTTATTAATAGGTAATCCTTATTATTAATTTATTAATAGGTAATCCTTATTATTAATTTATTAATAGGTAATCCTTATTATTAATTTATTAATAGGTAATCCTTATTATTAATTTATTAATAGGTAATCCTTATTATTAATTTATTAATAGGTAATCTTTATTATTAATTTATTAATAGGTAATCCTTATTATTAATTTATTAATAGGTAATCCTTATTATTAATTTATTAATAGGTAATCCTTATTATTAATTTATTAATAGGTAATCCTTGTTATTAATTATTTTTAGAAAACTAAAATAAAAAAGAAAATGTAAGGTAATAAATTATTTCAATTTTAAATTAACTTAATGTTAAACCGTATTTTCTTGTAGATAATTTATTACCTCGTAATGGAAATAGTCGCTAAAGAAAGTACTTATAGTATTAATGATGATGTTCTTTTAAGTAGAGATGTGCCGGGTACCCAGCAATTTTTTTTTTTGGTGTACTAGATACCTGGTAATTTTTAGAGTTGCTTGCTAATTTATGGGTGTGCCTGACATCCCTAAAAAATTTTGGTAAGTTTTGGAGATTGGTTGCAATCCTGGGAGATGATGGGTATCATGTAATTTCTGTTTGTTTGCCGGGTGCCTGGTAATTTTAAATTACTGGGTACACCGCGGAGGGTTTCCAGATTACCGACACCTCTTTTTCTGTTTCTTAATTGCAAGGCACCTTTAAAAATTACCAAGCATCTCCAAAATTACCCAGCATCTCCAAAATTTACCAGGTATACCAGTACACCTAAAAAAAATTGCCGGGTACCCGGCACATCTCTACTTCTAAGTATAAGTCGCATTCCCTTTTTTAACAACTTATGTTTTTTTATTTTGAATTTTTATTTTTGTTTTTAATTAGCTAAATTATTAAATTTGATATTATTATTTAGATAATAATAACAATCAGAGGTGGAAAGTGACAAACTACATTTACTCACATTACTACAATTGAATAGTTTTTTTGTGTGCTTTTACTTTGACTTAGGTATTTTTTTATTAAAGTATTGTACTTTACTATATTTGACATTACTGAGTAAATGTATTTATTAAAAGTAATGTTTAGTTTTACAATAAGTATGATTTAATTTATTTTATTTGATAAAAAATATTATTTGTAAATTCATTGTATTTTAATAAAGCTGCACCGAACAGAGATAAATAATAAGTTAAAAAGAGTTTAGCAGAGTGAGATAAAAGTACAAAAGAACAGATGTCTAGTGGGAAAAAAGAGCCTCAAAGTAGAAAAATACTAAAAACTAATCTAAGTAAAATGTTGTAAAAATAAACAAGAAAAATAAACAATAGTCAAGGAAAGTAAGAGTCATTAATTGTAGTGCTACTAAATTGTAATTAGTGTCGAGCGTAAATCTGATGTACAGACAGTATCAGTGATTAAGCAGAATTATTCGTTTTATAAGTAGTTACGATGTGGTCTTTATTATTAGGGTGATAAACATGCATTATAGATATATATCGCCTTATGGTACAGTATTAACACAAGAAGACTTCCAGCTTTCATCTGAGACTGGTATCCCAAAAGTAAGCTAGACTTAAAAATGACAAACTGTTACAACTCGATAATCTAGAAAATTTAAATAGAATTATACCAATACAGCAACAATAATTTGTATATATATTTTACAACTAATAATTTGTATATATATTTTACAACTAATAATCTAAAGTCATATGGAGTTTTGTAGCCTAACAGGTAAATGTATGTGGTACAAAAGTGTCTTTTGTATATTGTATAAGTGATAAGATTAACTGTGCATATGTCGCGTGACTGTAATGTAACCAGGAGTATCTGAAGTGGAGTAGAATTATTGTTTTATAAAACAGTTAGCAGGTAGCCTCTAGTCAATTAAATCAGATGTCCAGTGGAAAACAAAGAGCCTCAAAGTAGAAAAATACTAAAAACTGATCCAAGTAATAATAAACAAGAAAAAAAAACAATAGTCAAGGAAAGTAAGAGTCATTATCTTTTTAATTGAGAAATAGATGACATCATGATTTTCTAACTTGTCTATACAAAATCGATTTGCTCTTTCTTTTACATATGCTTATGACGGGAGAAGTTTCAGTAGACTAAAGATTATTAAAAATTATCTGTAATCAACAATGACAAGACAATTTCTTTTTGGATTGACATTAATTTTAATCAAATATGAGATTGTTGAGAGCATTGACTTTAAAGGCGGGCACAGACGTCCGTAAAACGTCTATACAACGCCTTATAGACGCCACATGTTCGTATGATGTTTTTAAGACGTCCAATGAACGTTCTGTACCAGAAAGAAATATGTATAAACTAGTAGGAAAGTAAATTTCTATTTTAATGCTTGTTTTTACTAATATATATAGTGTAAATATACTTTTAAATAACCAAACCATTGCAATAATATTTTTTTTATTATTTAACAATAGTTGTTAAATAAAGTAAGCTTACAAAACTCAAAATTTAGATTGTTTAG